GCTGTAGAGTCCTGGATGCAGATGAATAGACTTAGATGCTGGTGATGCCATGTGGCTCCTTGTCCTTATCCCAGATATGGGCTCTCATTGTCCAGGAAGGTCCTACCAGCCATATCTTTAACTCCCTCCATTGCACTTGGCTTGCTGACTCATTTGTCTTTTTTATTTGCTTATTTGAAAGCCAAAGGCACGTCCCTGATAGCTGAATATGCCATGGTGAGAAAAGAACTGGACACTTTTCACTACAAGCAAAACCTCCATCTGGAATTCTGGACTCCAAGATGCCTTTGAGTTATCCCAGCTTCCCATCGTCCTCAGGTGTGGAAATCTACTGGACTGTCATTCAAACAAGGAATTTCCCTGAAGCCATGTCTGTAGCAGTGAATATATTATAAACGGACACTGGATGAAGTTCAGCCACATAATTGCTCTTATCAGTGTTAATGGTGGTCTGGACTGCTTGCTACAAATCTGAGATTTTCCTTACCGGAGTACATCATCTTGCCACTATTTAACATGGACTGGCTGGGCAAAAGAATGTGTGGGGAAAACCATTACTGTGGACTTTTTTAAACTGATGGTGTCTTCTGTAGGTTGTCAGCCACCAGAGACGCTATCGACTGAAAGGACCCCTTGAGAAGGGGGCACAGCGTGTTAGGCACAATGAAAAGAAGCCCTCAAGAAGGGAATATGGCTTTAGTGTTTTTATAGCAATGTTCCTTTAATGGAAAACAAAAATAGCACAATTAAAAAAAAAATAACTAGTCTGCATTTTGCCCAGCCTTTTGCAAGTAATTTGGGATAAGAAGCTATCAGGAGTTTTCAGAACTTGTTTGAGGCCAGCGGTCAAAAACAAGTATAAAAAAAAATAAAAGTTGTACTTGCATGGTACAAAAGCAATTTTCAGTTACTTTGAATAAGATTTGATGGCAAAAGAAAGTAAAAATGAATCACTTTTGCTGAAGGAAATCCAAATACACAAATATCAAATCGGCAGAGGCAAATAACCTATAAAACGATGCCCAAAGAACATATTTCTTGACCTATACTGTACACCCCGGGCCTTTGTTGTTTTAAAAGAGAGCTATATCACATGAATTAGGTTGGTATTATTCTTCAGCCTGTAAAAGTAGCCCTTTTAAAACTGAATATTTAAATATTTTCTGAAAGAATTTCCATTAGTTTCTGCCTTGTTCACGTAACCAAATCATTAACACTTGTTATGCTTTCAACCACTCCCAATGCCATTTTTCAGGATGCTGCACTAGATGCTGGCTGGTTTAACAACCGAGTTCAGCTTCGAGTGAACCTGTATGCATTCCTGGCATCTTTCCATACATGCAAATGTTTGATGAATAAAGGAGGCTTTACTGTTTTATATAGTCCAGTCAGTTTTTATGAGCTATTTTATCTTGCTTCAAAACACCTCACAGTGAAATCCTTTTAAAGGGCTTAGCATTATGATAGTTTTAATTGATCTGGATATTTTTCATTTTAAGATGAATTAATTTGAAACTTCACCTGGAATTATATTAAGTGACAAAGTGGAGGAAACAAATTATAAACCAAGAATATCCTCTTCTGCCTTAAAGGGGCACCAGCTATTGCTGAGACCAGACAATCTGAGCCTAGCAAATTGTTCACAAAGCCCAGCCTTCTCCCCGTTACAGTGGCACATAATACATCAGGGATTTTAAAGCCACTAAAAGTAGCAGTTGCCTGGTTGTTTACCTGTTAATGTCTTCAGGCCAAGATGAACTTGCTACAGAATTATTATACAGCAAAACAACAAGAAGCCTCTATGCAGACGCTTTAGCTTTGAGTTTCTATAAAAGATCGTATTTAAAGAGCAAAGCAAAGTACTTTAGACCGTTATTATGCAAACATAAAAATAACTCTGTGTCAGGAACAAAGAATTAACGCTTAATTAAGGTGCCCAGCTCGAAAGGGCGGTTTAAAATGGAGATTGGTTTACTTTTAAAAGAACCAAAGCAATATGCTCGTTCGACAAAGAGCAAGGGAAATATGTCGGATCTTGCATATTCGGAGTGAAATCACAGTCCTGATGGGGCCAGAATTTTGGCCCCGTGTGTTTTCAGTCACAAGTGCAATTTGGTCTTGATCAACTAAACGTGTGAAAAAACCAAACAGCAGAAATTTCCATTAACAAACCTTAGCAATTTTCAGTGATTAAACAAACTTTTTTAGGTTCTGAAAGGTTCTGTCAATCTGAAAGCATAACGGCAAATCAGAGCTGGTTCAAGACCACGCAGACGTTCGAAGAAGTTAGTACTTCGCCCGCGTGCTTCGCTTGGAGCCATTTTGTAACGCCGTCTGCGTTATGGCCCTGGTGGTAAGCTCTTGGGAATAAAAACCAGGACGTCTCAAATTCTGTCGGCTCTCGAGCACAGACCTACTTAAATGCTACGTTTTAGTTCTTGGGTATAAGCAGAACACTGTTCCTGAAGCTTTTATTGTCTCATCGTTCTTACTGTAAATAATTAAGGAAGCTTAAAATTAATTTTCCTTGCAAAATTGAATTTGCAGTGGCTGGGTTGTTTCTAGACAGATTTTGGTATTAATTTAAGAGATGCGATTTTTATAGTCTTTCCAACTTCTCGTTACGACTCCTGCGGTTTTCTTAACCTAAAAAATTGCTGCAATGATGAACAAAGAATTATACAAAAAAGAAAAAAAAACGTACTTTTGTATCTTTATTTTGGAATTTCTTGTTCTATTATAAATATTGAAGTATCCCTATTTCAGAAGACATATTTTGTTAATTGATTGTACATATTTAAATATGTATTTTTGCACAGGTCTTTTTTTCTTATATCCAGTTTTGGTACAATTGAGATCATCTAGTATTTATTTATTAATTAATTAAAGAAAAGCAAATACCTTTTTTATAATTTGAAGTGGTTCACTGCCAAGCCAATAGTAACATGCCTACTTTGCTACTTAAGGGATGCCTCTGTTTTGTGAAAGTTGTGTCCCTTTTCATGTCTTGGGAGTGGATACCTATAACCTAAAGGCCAGCGCCTGCAGTCCGATTCGTGGAAGAGCCTGATTGCAGGGCGAGGCTTGAACGGTCTAGCTGGCATTGCTTACCAGCTGCCTGATTCCCAGAAGACTACATTTAGTTAAGTGACACACTGCTTCTCTTTTTTTAGTATTTGTGTGCGTGTGTGTGTGTGCGTGCGCATTTGTGTGGGTCTCGTGGTTTAACTAATGGAAAAACTGAAAGTGCCTGATATAACTAGTTTTATGCTTGGACTGTTTAGACAGCTTCTCCTTAAAAGACTTGAATGTTCAGTTGAAACTTTTGGAGCTTGCTTTTTCCACCTACCTATTATTTCCAAAACTTTGATTAAAAGGGGTTAAAAAAAAAACACAGCAAAGAAAAAAGATCGATGCTGGCAAGTTTTGCAAACCATTTTGAATCGAATAATTTGTGTCGAAACAATCCCGTTGATAATGCATCTTACAATAATGCCAAGGGTTAGAACATTTTTTTTTTTTTTTTTGCAATCAGCTATGTACACAACTGTCTCTTTTTGGTTATTCTTTCATTAGTTACACCATTTCAAAGGAGAAAAAACAACAAAAAAGAGAGAAACAGCAAATGTTCAGAATATTTTGTATTCCAGGAAAAAAAACATTAAAAAAAAACCCCCCCCAAAAAACAAAAAACCAAGTTAAGTACCTCTTGAAATATTAAACAAAAAAAGTGATTTCCAAATGTCATTTCTAAGGCAGTTGTCTTCCCGTGAGAGTTCTCTTGCCAAGGAATCTCTTGTCTTTCACTCGTTCTGTCCTGGGAGAGGGAATCGGGCTTGAGAAGATTCTTAACGTTTCACTGTTTAGCAGAAAATAATCATTTTTACATTTTGTGCGAAATATTTTACGTTTTAAAGGTGATAATTTAAAATAAATAAATAAATAAATGAGCACTACATAATGTCAATGTGAATGTAGGCCTCGGAAGCGTCCGGCTCAGGCTGGAGCCTGGTTCTAAAAGCAATCTCCTGTGTAAAAGGTGTGAATAGTTTGATAATTTGTACACATAATCAAGAGCATCTGATCAGCTGAACTTTGCGTCGGCTGCTGTATAGTACATGAACAAATGTCATGGGATAGAAAAATTACTTTGGATATTTAAAAGAAAAATAAATATATAGTCTATTTGTTTTGTAACAAGTTTCTGTAAATAAAATAATTTATACTATTTATAAGAAAAAGTTGTGCTTTGCTTCATGAAAAAAGATTAGTTTGTTGAACAAACAGATGTTACTAAACAGGGCAATAAAATTAGGTCTTTTCAACAAATGAGGTTGGCTGCATGAAATACATGATACGTTTCTGCGTCATTATAGAAGAATTCAGCCCTGAAGGAGAGCAGCATCCCTCGTGGTGCCTCGGTGCAGAGATTCGGTAAGGGCTGGTCCTGCTTCTAGCGTTCCTTTGGGCGGCGGGATGTGTACGGCTAGGAGAAGTGGATCCTTGTATCACAGAGGCTTTTTCTTTTTCGGCATCTGCCTCAGAGTTGTGTAAAACCTCTCTACCATAAAGCAACCAAAACAGGTTATGCTGGATTATAGGGGAAGGGCTCTGACATGCAGCGTTGTTGCAACCAGTGCTTCCATCCTTTCAAAACATCTTTCTGTACTTTTTGCTGCAGAAGAGCCAAGAATGTGGGCTTGCCCACATTGATAACTCACTGCCGTACGTCAGGCATGCCACATTATGGGGCTGTTATAAACGCCGCTGCTCCTAAAGCATCCGTCAGCAGGCATGGCCTCTGGAATAGGACCTGGTCCTCCCTTCTCCATCAAAGCTGCTGTGGATGTGCGTGAGAATTGTCTCGGTGAGTAGCTCAGATCACGCTTTATATCTAAACGAATCCCCAGTGCTGCAGGCCACGCTGGGTGGCAGTCTTCCAGTTTGTAAGACTAGGCTCTTACTTTTAGCAGAAGTCTCTAGTCACGTAGGGCATCACTTGTGCCTTTGTAATGCAGAGGAGACTGTCTTTGACTTTTCTCTTCAAAGGTGTCGGGAACGCAAGGTTTAGCTGTGGCAGGTGCTTTCAGCATGAAGTCTTTCCTAACAGTTTCTTCTCACAGTTCTGCATTGTGGAGATCTCTAATAAAGGATGAAGCACTTCATTCAGGTAAAACGGGATTTTTATCCTTCTCTGACACTTAAACCACTCTTGGTTAATAACCAAATTTATGTTGCATCTAATGGAAAGATAAAATGATCTGCCAAGCCACAGGACAGGTGAAGTTCCAGGGTTTATGATGGCACTTCATTGTCAGTAGCTGGTGTCTTTTTCAGACTGCCTGTCACACATTCCTCAATTACAGTCCAGCCCAAGTTGCAGATTTGTAGGGATTTAAACTATCATGAATTGATTTGATTAGCAAGGGGTGGCCCTTGTGCAATTGCAAGGGCCAAATGTTATTTTAAATCCCTGTTGGTGCAGCAAGGAATGAATGCTCAATCTGCAGTGGCTCTCCCAGTGAGGGCAGCAGGAGTTTAGATCTGGGGTAGGACATGGCACTATTATTTAGCATTGTCCTGTACCAGTTTCAGGTCATTCAGCAGTGCTCAGAGAGATAATGCATATACCTCTAGCATCCACCACTGTCACTAACCTTTCTCTTCTCTCCTCATTTTCCTTCTTGTTCGCCTTTCCCCCTTTTACGTGCATTTATTCTGTTGTTCCTTCTGCATTTCCTTTCCCACAGCAAAGCCCAATTTCTGCTCCATTCTGTATGTTAAATGAAATCATTCCATTTTGGTGCATGGGAGTTGGGGGCGTTCACGCTCTGAGCCGTTTGTTTGAGCCTGTCTGCAAATTCGGGGAGAAAGCGCTGCTGGAAATCCACTTGTCGCAGCCAGAAGGTCTTTGCCTGTTGTTTCGAAGAGTAGAAGCATCCTTCATCCTGGATGACAATGGCAGGTGAACGGTGACATCTGAAGTGTGCGTGGTGCATATACATTCTGGATGTCTGCATCCTTGAGGAGCCTAAACACTCTCAATGAGAGTAGGAAGCCTGCTTCTCTGTAGGTTAGGAACCACCTAGAGAGCCATCCAGCAGCCATCCAACACTGTGCCACCTCTCACCAGGCACTGAAGAGGGGATATAGCTTTCTAGGGTACCCTAGTTTCTCCCCGCACCTTGGTAAGGGGCAGCGGAAGAGGTTGCAGGGAACTCGCATTATAGAGCTTTATAGGCTCCGGTGCCTAAAACATGTCAAGTGAAACCCACCTGACACAGACCTTCCTGAGACCCATGAAGAGTGGCTTGTTTCCTACCTCCGCTTGAAAGAGCTCAACTCAGAGGCCTTGTGTGGAAGAAAAAATTGAGCCAAACATTTGTGATGGCAAACAACCTATAAAAAGGGCACAGTAGCAGTTCTATTAGTAATATCATTATGGAATATCATCATTCCTATACAGAATTCCTAAGAATTTGGGGCAAAGGTTGGTGATGTGTTAGTAGACTCCTCCCTGCTGAATACATTTCTGCCCCCCTTTTGGGTGGATTCAGATTCAGATTCAGCAGATCCTTGGGAAGAGAGAGACCCAGACAACGGACTGCACTCGTCTTCCAACAACCTCCAAGGATAGACCAGCTCTGAGCCACTCCCATCCATCCCACGTGTTACAGCACTCCATGAACTCTTCCTGCTTGTGCTGGCTCCCGAAGAGGCCAATAGGACTGAGTTTTAGTTGTAATTATTCCACCACTTATTTATTACAATCATGAAATGATTGAACACACGTGACTGCACCATCCGCACCTTGGCTCTAATTTGCCTGAGTGCTGTTCCTGGTTCTTGGGTTCGCTGCTTACAGTTAGGTTTTTGATTCACCACTGATAAATAGCCTGGATTTTCACTGCAAAAGAACGGGTGGGTGGGATCCTATCTCAGGTCATCATAGGAGTTGAAAACTAGCACGGGAATGGCAGATAAAGAGATGAAGTGAAACAGAACTGAGCCAGGGCAAAAATGTGTGGCCTGGGGCAAAGCCTGGTCAGAGCTTCAGCCACAAGTTCTGATGAGGAGCTACATGATTCCTCCTCACCCTGAGCTCAGTTCTCTACTGCATCCTTTCCTGCCGCCCTATTTCCAGTAAGAGTGATTTTTTTTTTTCCCTGCTCTGCACTCAAGGTTAGGATGGTGATAAGCAAGGGAGCATCCAAGTGCCGAAGACTGCCCTGCGCCTTGCTGTGGGGACCCATGGTGTTTCATTTGGGCCTATCTAGATGAAATAGATAAGCTAGGCTTGTTAATTATATTCACAACTGGTGCTAAATTACAGAGCCTCGCTAACTTCACGGAGAGAAGCCCCACCCAGGTACGTCAAGGAATGTCCTTGCACAGGCCAGATTTTCAGTATTGTGCAGGAGAGCTTTAATGACCAATGCTAAATCCCACATCCCTCCTTCCTTCCTCTCTCCACCTTGCCTGTAGTTTTAATGGCCGTAGGAGCCAGTCGTGTGTTGCCCTCTACTATGTTCTGTATTGTGTGCAGCATCCCTTCCTTCCTGCCTTCCAAGCGCAAGGAAAGAGGCTTTCCTCAGTGTGGACCGAATTGGGAAGGCCAGGTGCCTCTAGGCACAGACTTGCAAATTGGCATGTTGTGTTGGAGGCTGTAGGTGGACTTTGAGCTGAACGCAAACCAGGATTGGGAATTGTGACAAGTAGGCAAGCGCTGTTCTCCTCCACTGTAGCTGAACAGGGGTTGGTTGGAGAGCGGGTAGGTAGGTAGCAGCTGTCTTACAGCCTGTCAACAGGGTCAAACCTCATGCGGTCCTGGTTGGAGAAAGCATATTGAGGGCCATGTTGGGACTGAGTTAACAAAAGAACAGGTGCCACTTGGCTGCCGACGCAAGCCTCTGGAGAGGTATTAAAAGCAAGGAGGAGAAAAGGCACAGGGTGCTGCCTGCACTGAAGGATGTAAAGCAAAGCTCAGCATGGCAACAGACAGAGCAGGAGGCAGAAAGCAGATGAAGGGATTGCAGTGGCGCATGGGAAGGGCATGAACTGATTTATGACATGCCTGCCAAGAGGGCTGGCTCCACACCCCAGCCTCCCTACTGCCAGAAATCTTCTGCAGTGCCCATGACACATTTGCTCTCTGAGGAAAGGAAAAGCCCGAGCTTTCCCACTGGCTGTTTGAAAGACTTTTCTAGCAACTTTTATTTTTCTCTTGCAGGTGAACAGCGTAACGCACTGTTGCTCTCCGAATCCAGGCAGCTGTGGCTTTCTAAGGCAATGTGCTTGGCCAGGATTTCTCAACACCACCTGTGTCTGCAACCCTTTGGTATAGTTGAAAGCCTCGAGATGTACTGAAAGCCTTAAATCAGCCAGGTACGGACTGTCTCGGCTCTTGCCATAGGCATCGGATTAGATCACTTGGTCTTCTGCTGAGGCAAACAAACGAACAAGGGTTGGGGATCTTTAGAGAGGGAAGGGAGAATTTGAGACAGAATGTACTCGTCTCTAGTGCGATTATGTTCCAGTGGATAATGCTAATCAAGGCACCTTGCAGGAGTGAATTATCCCAGGCTCTTGGAGACAGAATTATTTTTGGGAAGGTGTGAGTGTATTTAGGCTGTGAACACTCAGCAGTGCTATTTCACAGAGACATGCCAGGCCGCCCTGTGTTCTGACAAGTTTTTGCTGTATTGCACGTTGTTCGCTTTCACTTTTAGGAAGAACAAAAAATTAAGACCTGTTGAGTCTTCACATACAGCCTTTTTCACGCATTGGGGATCTTGATTCAACCTACAGAATAGTTTGTTATGGCCATGCAGCGCAAAGGATATGCATTTGGTGTTTTTCTGCTGCTTTTAAGCAAGGTAAAATAAGAGTGATATCCCAGTTGGGTAAATGAAGCGCTATAGCTCAGTGTCTGTCGAGTGTGAGATTCTGCCCTCTCCCTTGCTGTGTTAAATACATCTGGGAAGACATAAAAGCTAAGTGGAACTGTCACGTTTATTTACTCGTGCAGTTTAACTCCGTAACCAAATGGACAATGCTGAGGGGCTCCACAGCTTCATCTGGTCCCTGAAAACAGCGTAGGAGGTGGCCTTGTTATCAGCTGAGCTTGACTTGTCAGGTTAGGAGCCCTGACAGGGTTCACTGGAGGGCTCTGCTTCACCTGCTCAGAAGGGCAGCGATTCTTTTCCACTGAGGAAGGGTGCCCCATGCAAAGTAAGGTTTAGAAGACTAACCTGAAACATGCTATATTTTACTGTAGGAGGTAAAACAATGAAGTGGGAAGTGGGATTCCAGTACTGGAAAGGATGGCAATCTCAAAATACCCACAAATTGTCCCAACAGATGATAAACTGACAGGGCTTTCCTGTCCTTTACGTGCACATGGTTCACATTTTTCCTTCAATCGATGCGTCTCCAGAATGATAATCCATGTGACTAACCCAGTTGTCCCAACCTTCCCCATGTTCATTCAGTTGTCCACTTCGTTGTGAAGTGACGACAGGCAAAGAGCAGGAGACGGAGGCAGAGTTCTCTCTGCCCGGTGCAGCCTTTGGATCCCACGGAAATGTACCCTTTTCTACGCCCAAAAAGAAAACCAGGTGATTCTAGGCCTACTACTAGTTTTTCTTAGCTCACAGACCTTGGCTCCACTAAGTTTAGAAGGCCAGCATAGAAAGATACGTTGTACAACAAACACAGCACGCTACAAGAGATGATCAACTGTATTATACATTTAATAAATGAACTGGTCCACAAACATGAATGGGACATTTATACAGTTCAGTTGTGTACATAATGAAGAACACCGTAAAAACCCTACCTATGCGTCGCTTGTAACTTTCTTGGCTACAGTATACACCAAGTATACAATATATTCATCGATTGCTTCCAAAATGGCCTTGAACTTCTAAGTTTTGCATTCCCTTGTTAAAAAAAAGTTACATATTAATTACTCTGGAAAGTTTCTGAACTCTGTTTAGCAGCAAATCTCCTTTCTTGATGGTTTCTTGGTATTGCCAGTTCTTGCTATCGGGCCTACAGATGATTAAAAAAAGAAAAAAAAAAGAAGTGCAATTGAGAGAGGACATTTTATACCATGAGTTATCAATCTAATAACTAGCTAGAATGCACAGATTTAAACACCAGCAGTTTCTAGAGACAGATACTGTACCTGTTAGTTTCTACTATCTCGTTTACTTTGTCTATTTTGCAGTGTAGTCGCCCAGCAGCAATAAATCTTGACAGCTCCCTAAATTAAAAAGAAAGATAAATACAAGGTAAAGACATAGATGTGAACTCAGCAGCTCGGGCAATGTTCCCATCATATTCCACTTTTGAAGAAACAGTCGAACTTGGTTCCCAGTAGGATTGCAGAAAGGCGTTTTAGACCTTAGGTAATCACCTCTCTTTTCATTTACATCCTTCGCTTTTAAGCTGCCCCCTCCCTTTGGTCTGGATCTTTGGAGAGTGGGGTTCTGCTTGTCTACAGCTGTTGCACAGCGTGTGAATACCTGGCACTATAATGTGCGACAGATCTGAGTGAGGGAAACCACTTACATTAAAAGTTGTGTGTATTGTAACTACTTCAAAGCTAGCATGACCACCCTCCTATCCTGGAGCTGGAGCAGGACCTCTGGTCAGCCTTCCCTACTCAGGCCAGGCTTCTAGTGCACCCACAGGAAGTTTTATCCCAGCAAATGCTTTTCTTTCTTTTTTTAAAAAAACCCTTATACAAACTGATGCCATTTTCTAATATTCCAATACACGCTGGATTATTTGCTTAACAGACTCCTGGTGAGATTAGCTTTGTTTCTGGCCCAGCAAATTTTTAAAAGCCATCCTAATGCAACAAACTAGTGTTGATAGCTTATATACCGTTCACGTTCTGAGCAAAGGGGGGCAAAATATACTTAGTAAATGCCAATGTGGAGAAAGATGAGCTAGACTGTTTGGGGCCAAGAAAAGAAAAGAACATAAATATTGTGGTGGAAAAGAATGGCAGGACAGGGACAAGTGACATATATGGTAAAAGAGAAACAAGTTACTCATTAACAAATACTCTTCCACAACATACATATTGTTCTTATCTCCCCTAATTCAAATGTATCCACTTTCACTTGAACATTTATTTTTGCTTTATTTAAAAGAACCAATGATGCTTCATTTGAGTAAGAATATCAAAATAACTTCCCGTGCAACCCAGCGCGTAAGGGAAACGTGGGACAATCGTTTTTACAGACTGTGAGTAAACTGGTTTCTCAACTGAACCTTGAGGCTAGTTAAAAAAAAACCTTTGTGCCACGAGCCTGAATTGTTTATGGTCTGTGTAAGCCGAAGATAGTGAGGAGAGAAGTTTCTTAATGGTGAACAAATCACTTTATAAATGATCGGTGACTAGTCTCTGACTTGCACAGTTCCCGTAACTTACTGATCTATGAATTCTACGCTGACTCCGAAGGCTTCTGCCATGTACCCTAGTGTCAGCGATCGGTAAGACTCCAGGAGCTGGCTGTAGGCATGGATTCTCATTTCTCGAACGTAATACCGATAGTGAGGTGCAAACAGCCAATCCTTTTTCATCTCCTGCTCTACGACAGCTGAAAAGATAAACATCACAACTGTAATCCATACACTCTGGGGAGGGGAGGGTTGATCTTTTCCTGCTTAAGCAAACCAAATGGGTCATACAGGTAAATAAGCAATATGACATGAGAGCTGTAGTTATCTTGGATCCTTGCATGCCTCAGGGTTATAATGAAAGACAAGCTACAACTTGGTGTGCGGTTATTGTCATAAAAATTTCCTAAAAATACAAGTATTAAGAGCAAGACCCGCCTGCTGTTAACTCGAGACATTGCAGTTCTCAGCACTAGCTGGCTTCTGGCTGCCAAGAAACCCAAATATAAAGTAAGCTTATTTTTGCTGCCCCTATACCATGTTTTCCTAGAAGATGAAGCAAAACCCAGCGGCATGAAAACTGGCCAGAGTACAGAAGAGATTAAGTTTTTTCTTTATTTCACCACTCCGCATAGAAATGGGATCAGAAAGGCCACAGCAGCAGCCGGCTATGAAATCTCTCCTTTGAAACCGGCACTGGCAATTTCAACTTTTAAGAAGTGAGCTACAGAATTTGTGGTCCCCTGCCCCACCCAGCAGCCCACGGTATTGTAAATAGATTGCATTTTTTGAAGGAGCAGCCTCTAAGTTTTCACAGAACGCTCATTTTCAAAGCAAGGTATTGTACACAATAGACACACTGGCAAAATAGCAGCAGACATTAAAGTAGCCATGCTGTGCTGCAAAGGGAAAGCTGTATTGGCAACGGATGGTTTTCTCTAGAAGCGGTTTGACAACACGGGCTATCACAAAACCCGTGTTAATTTGAGGCAAACCATTTACAGGACTAGCACAGGGGAAAGATACTGATGTGTAAAAACCATCCGCTCTTACCTAGTGACTGGAAGAAGACCGAGTAACGACATTCATAGAGGGAGAAGAGGTACTGTCGTACTGCTGGTAAACTATGTAACACTTCCAGAATCTCTGCCCCTTTAATGACCTAAAAGTAATCAAAACAGAAGGTTTAAACACTGCTAGCCTCAGGCAGGAGATAAATAGTCTTAAAAAACGGGACCTATTTGAATCGGGAGAGTCATCTGCTTTACCTACCTTCTCTCTAAGGTCAGGCCTGTCTAACGCGATCATGCTGACGTAGACAGTGTACGTTACGAATGTTTTGTAGTCCATCAGCTCATAGGATGTAAACGTTGATACTGTATCAAGGAAGAGTTCTGCTGCTTGCTTGAAGTCCCGAATAGCTACGCAATAAAGGCCCTGGTAGACTTTTAGGCGATTTCTCCTGTCCCAGTCTCCTCCTTCCTCAATGAGGCTTAAAACAAACAGACAAAAGCGCTGTTTCATTGCAGGAAACGAGTAGAGCAAAGCGATGGATTTAACAACACGAGAGCGCGCGACGTTTCAGAGGTGGTTCCTACTACGCTGCAAGGATCGGGGCTTTGGCAATGCTGCGGCCGGCCGGAGGGAGACTCTCCTTGGTGAGCGGGGCCGCCTTTCTGCAAAATTCAAGCTTCAACTTAAAAATAAATAAATAATCTTTACTGCTGCACTGATGGGTTCACATGTGCATCTCTGTCACCCCCAGTCTGCACGCACACCTCTGTCACGTTATGTCTGTAGCTAAAACCAGAGCTTTCTCAATAAGCGGCATAGCAGAAATCAGCCAGAAATGCAATTTCTGGGTAACTTTGCTCGCTGCCGGCACACTAGCGACGGGGCTATTCGAAAGCCATCTTCAAAGCCACTTCCCACCAGCTTTGTCCCTCAAGCCCCTTTCTGCGCTGCTTGGCCCTGGGGGGCGCGTGAGCAAACGGTACCTCTTGGCCTTCTCGATGTTGCGCGTGATAAGGTCGTTGTCCATGTAGAACAAGCCGATTCTCAGGAGGTAGAAGACGATATCCAGGCGATGCCCCAGCGCCACGGTTTTGTCGTACGTCTTACGAAAGGCCGTCAGAGCTCCTTCCTGGCAAGACAACGCGTCCCCACCCCACGTGAGGAGGCTGCGAGGACCAAGTCGCCGTCCAGCTCGAAGCCGGGGACCGAGGGGACGTGCAGAAGGGGAAAGAAGGAAGGCCTCTCGACCGCAAGGTGCTTTCAAGGGGGGCGGGACAATACCGTCCTCCGCGATACATTTCGGGACCCAAAGCTTTCCCCCGTCCCGGCGGGGAGTCTGTCGCCCGCTCGCCCCGACCAGCGCCCGCCGGGGGAGGGGGCACGGACGGACAGACGGGGCTTCTCGCACCTTGTCCCCGATGCGGCATAGGTACTCGGCCTTGGCCATCATGGCGTCACGGATCTCGCTCTCGCCCAGGATCTTCTCGGCGTCCTCCAGCTCGTGGTCCAGCCGCGCCAGCTCCTCCTCGTTGGCCTTCTTCATCTTGCCC